GGGACTTAAATAAGCACAGCAGCACAGCTTTGTGATGCTTTTTCCCCCCCCCCCCCTTTGAACAGGAGGGAGAGATGGAAAGTTTAGCACTGTTGGGAGCAATTAGGTACCACAACTGCCTGCGCATCAGCAGCGCTCACAGTGCTGCCAGCTCTAAGAAATGAAAGCTTCATGACTACAGAGACTGATGTCTGGACTCCCACAGCGTGGAGCTGCTTGTTTTCTGAGGCCATGAAAAGCTACAGGGTGAAGGTTGTTAAAGGACAGCAGTTCCCCACAGTGTTTTATTTGCACCTCAAAATCGATGCAGGGTGTCACACATTCATATCCCAAGGCATTATCTTTTCTGTTTGCTGCCAAAATACATAACCAGGCTCCTACACAGCCAGGAATTCATTAGAAAGACCTTTATAATAGGAAAAAAGGGTTGGTTTTTTTTTTTTTAATATAAAAAAGAGTCATTTTGTTTATTCCAAGGAGCAAGCAGAACGCTGTCACGAAACTGAGTGCAGCAGAGGGCACTCTTAGTCCTTGCTGGCCTGGGGTGGGAACGGGACAGGACGGAGCCATGCCTTCGAGTCCGGGACCTTCCCAGGGTCAAAGCATTGTAACAGCTGCATCTTCGCCTTCCTGCAGCTCCAGGTACAGCGCGTGGGGCAGAAGCGTGCGCAGAGTGCACTGAGCCCCTACCGCATCCAAGCGGAGCGTGCTGGGAAGTGGGAAGGGAGGCGAGGAAAAACATAGGAAGCGCGCAGGGAGTCATTTGCATTCAGCCTCCTGCCTCCAAGTGCTGGGCTTGTTACCTGAGAATCAGGCCCCGCATTTTATTCGGGTCCTTTTAGGTCCTGATGCAACACCAGCTGAGCTTCCACTCTTCCCATGCCTCTGTTTGTCCGCTGCTGAAAGCGAACAATTCTCCTTTAATTAATCAGCACTTGGGAAGCCCCTTGGGATTGGGGGCTGGAAAGCATTAGCACAGCACAAATCACCTCATATGCACCTCCTTCTTTTCCTCTTCAATAAGATGAGGGATTTCACAACCATTTCCATAACAGCTACCTCTGATGTCACAACGAAGGATTATGTCTCCACACAAAAGATTTAATATACTGGAGGTGGCATAAACATCCAATGCCCTAGAGCAGTTAGGAGCTAAAGGCAATCTGCCTGGATACAGATTCCTTGCCTTTTTGGAAGGCTTGGCACTTTAAGCTGTGTTGTTGCCTAAAATTAGCTGCTCACATTTTGCCAGGCATTTTCCCACTGCTCATAAAATGAGACAGGGATAAAGTGCTACACACCTCTGCTCTCGCTTTCCCACACAGCAAGGGTATAAACCACAGCTGAATTCCGAACCACGTGGGGCGCTTGAAGGTGTTATATTTGTGTCTTTTAAAAAGGAGAGTGTTTAATGCATGGCTCAATTCACACATCGTTCCTTGTCTGAGAAGCAGCAGTTGGACCTTGAGCCACGATCTTCCCAGTTCTGCTTCTAACATAAACCTGCTGCACGACCTTGAATGAACTGTTTAACCACAATCATAATACTCACTTACCTGTCAGGAGTTTTGTGGGGAAAATAAACCAGCATTATGATGGCTTGGTTAAGTTTCTACCTAAAACAACAAAAATAAAGGATAATTCGATTATAAAAAAATCCTTATCAAGCTGCTCATCATCCATCTGGATGCCTTCAGCTTTCCAGGCTGGTAGCAAAGGGAAATACTGAGTTGCAGTCCTGCTTATCCTAAAAACCACCTTAGCTCTGCTGTTGCCTGCCAGTTTTCTTCCCCACCTTGCTAAGAGATGAGTGGCTGGATCCATCCTAGCTCCTCTGCTAGATAACAGAGCCAACACCCTGCCCCAGTCTCTTCACTGCAAAGTGCCAGGAGCATCCAATTAAGGGTTTCTGGGGGTGGAGGAACCCACCTTACCTCTCATGGCCTGGAGGAAGCCTGCCATAAAGGCAATAAACCTAGACTAAGTCACAGTTAGGAGAGAATATCTTTTAGACTGAGTAAGATACATGAATTATTTGGGCCCTCAAAATTCATGAGTGGCATCCCCTTTCCTGGAAACGAACCAGAAGAAAAGCCCAGCCAGATAAGCTCTACCTTCTTCAAGTAGCAGGACATGAAGGGCAAGTGCTAGCTGGAGATTCTTGTCTTCTGGGAGCCCCATACACTCATGGAGCAAGTTTTTCTTGGGCCATTGGGACAACTAAAACTACTCCTAGTGCTAACAACTAACTGTTCCCCCCTAGTGGGCAAACCGCTTGCCACGAACCAGGAGAAGAACATGAAGGTTCAGCGCTCATAAAGATCAAAGGAAGGGAACACCCTAGTTAATGCCGATTTGTGTCTCTTCTTTTTGCCTGAGCTCTTCCAAGTGACGGAATAAAGATGTCAACCCCGCTTAAAATCTCCCCCAAGCAAAGAATACTGGGCGTTTAATTCACCTTATTACGTTCTTCTGGGTTCACTTACCAGGTACAGCCAACGGCTTTCCTGAATTTGTATTAATTAAAAAAAAGAAGACATGTAGATAATTGCTAAAAATCATGTAACACTGAGGAATAAAACTCATGCAAATGAACACACAGTTTTTTGGCTCAGCGTGATCTCTGCCAGCACAGGCAGCATGCTAAAGGAAACCAGGCTCATCCTGTCCTCAATCAATTCAAAGCTGTCCCCCGCCTCATAGCTGCTTAGTGGTCCATACGACATGCTGGTGGCTGTCAGGGCAGCTCTTTGCAGGAACGTTTCCATTCTTGCAGCTGTCCAGCCTTAGCAAAAGTTACTGTCTGACTAGATCACAGGCAATCATTCTAAGTTGGCCCACTGGCATTATACAAAACATAAATTTGGCCCAGCAGAAATGGTGAGTTTCATCTAGCTAGATGGTCCGAAACACGTGAGTTTTGTTTCACCGTTCCTTAGCCAACTAGTGATGCATCCTGCTCACGTGCTCAGGTTAAACTGATTGCCAGATCTGGGGCCAAGAAGGAGTCCTGTCCCCTGCTTTTTTGCCTTCTTGTATAGTCTGGGGATGAGATGCGTGTCGTAAGATTGGGCACTTTCACCCAGCTTCCTCCCTGCTGTTAAGAAGGCTGCAAGATGTAAGCGACACTGTTTATTTCTCTGTGGTATAACACTACAAAAGAAAAAACCCTTCAACATTTATCAAGGCCTTGAATTTGCTGTGAGGTTTGGAAAGAGTTCTGCAGGTTCATGTGCTTTGGAGTAGAAAGGGAGAGGGGCCTCTGAAGGCTTTTGGCTAACATGGTTGCCTGAGACTTACTGGCTGAGATGGTCTCTTCCAGACCTGTGTTCCAGTTCAAGTTCAGTGCTAATTCAGCCTCGGTCTAGAGGAGCGTTTGGGATCAGATCCATCCCACCATCAGATCCATCCCACCCACTGCTGCATACGAATTGGCTGCATCATGAGGTTAGCTGCTGTAAGTTGTCAATAGAGCTCAGCAGAGGGTAAATACAGCAGTATATCTGCCTCCAATCTGGATGGGAAAGGCTACCCTGCCCTACGGACGGAAAGGGCAGGAAAAGCCACCCCCTTCCACTTCAGCACAGCCTTGGGATGAAATCCTGACTGCACAGGCAACACCCACTGGCTTCAGCAGAGCGAGGATTGCCCTCTCGGCCTGGGCTTGCCAGATCCCGGAGCCCGAGGGCACACTATCCTGCCCATCTTTTGGGGGAGTTAAGCACAGAACAGATTTTGTTCCTGGCTGCAGAGTTCACTAATGAAGCCTACAGTTATTTTAGTACCGGGAGGGAACACTCCATTGTATTTGAAGATTTATTGTGAAATCAAGGTCTATCAAGGGGCGCCAGGCTTGCGATGGGTGGGGTGCCTGTTTATGTCCTTATAAAGGAAGTAAATACATAAAAACATGCTTGGCATCAAAAGTTCATAAAGAGCCAGTGCTTAGATACAGAGCTTGCCAGCAAAAGCACACATTCTCGTCTGGAAAAAATGCCCCCCTGGAGCCTGATCCTTGCAGGAGGCAAACAGCCAGTTCTGTGGCTTACTGAAGGGTATGCAACCAAGGGCACTCAGAGAGGCTACCAGGAAAGAAATTAAACCCTATTCATCAAGGCATAGGATTCCTGTTCCAGAGCAGGGGAAACAGCATGAAAGTCGATGCTTCTGAGGGCTGAGAAGCCTTCCCAAAGCTGAGCACCACAGGTATCGAGTTCTTTGCAAAAACTAGGCCTTAGTTTTGGAAGAGAAGCGCTTGACAGTCTTCTCCCTCCTTCTCACTCTGTTTTTGTTCTGGTGAGAAGTCTGGCTAGTCTCTCCAACACAGGGCACCTTAGCCAGATGTGAGGCTTTCAGGCTAGCTAAGACCCATGTAATTATCTACCCTGACTTGCGTAACACAGGCAGGAGGATTTTGCCCAAATAACAAAGATCGTGCAACAAGAGCTTCTGTGGCCAGTTTCTATGCTCTGTCTCCTGGCAGGCTGCAGCCAGCTCTGAATCTGCCAAAGCTGCCACCTTCCCAAGCGTTCCTAGTTTTCTTGAAGGATCCCAGACATGGCAGGGCTGAAACATTTGTCAGCAGCTGCTGCAGGCAGATGACATATTTCTTTATCCAGGGCAGAAGTTCATGGACTGGACCCTGGACTAGAGCTCTGGGGAGCCTGCCCCAGCTCTCAGCCCTGCTGCAGACTGTGTATGACACCCAGGCATGCTGCATCAGCTGTGGCTGCAGCCCCATCAAACAGCCATCCCAGGAAGGGCTGTGAGCACAGCTTTTGCCCTGACCTGACCGTGCCTCAAGGCAGCATGCACCCGCCTGTGGGCAAACTCAGCACCAGGTATGCTTGGGCGGAGGGCTACCCAGGACCCCTGGGGCTCAGCCTCCAGGTTATTGGTCCAGACAGAGGATCAGGCCTTAGGGCAGCGCAGACAAAGCTATCAGCAATCTCTCTGCGCCTTGAGGCTTGTCAAGGTGGAACAACGACATACCTGTTACCTGCAGACAAGCACAGGTCTCCACATGGAAGCATAATAATCAGTGATCTTCTGAGACCCCTGCCAACTACAAAATGTGGGTATGAATGTGAATCACCATCACAGCCAGGAACATTTGTGCCTAGGCCTCGGCTTGCACAGAACAACTGCAGGAGGGACAGGTCCTGGGAGGAAAATCAGCTGTACCCACCTGTGAAATGGATGCTTCCTTGGGGTTTTTCCACTTCTTAGTTTGCAGCATGCTTAATTATCCTGAAAGAAAACTGCAGAGAGGGAGGGTGCATTTAATCAGACTTTGAGCAGGCTCATTCAAGGAGGCCTGCCGATCTAACATACTCTTCTGGTGCACATCTCCAACATACCTGAGCGTCATCCCATCCTTTATGGGATTTGATCCTCACAATGTCTCCAGGGATGAGGCACAAAAGGATTTGCTCAAGGTCATACGGCTTGTGAAAGAAGGGACTGAAGTGAGGTCTGTCTAGCCCTTGGCTCCTGCACTGATCCCTGGCTCGTTCTGCCACCAACTGAATACGCAGCTGCTCTGCCATGCTTACTAGGAGGCACTTCCAGCACATAAGCCAGGGGCTGCTATGACAACAGTCATACCTGAAAAGGTACAAGGTACAATCCTCCACCAGATCCAGTCTCTCCAAAGACCCTCTGGCATCCCCCAGGGTAGCTCAAGTAATCTCTGCCCTGAAAATCCAGGGACTCAACTCCTCAGTCAGAACAGCTCTGCTGAAATTAGTGGGTCCTCCCTAATTTACACCAGCTGCACATCTCACACAGCATCAACAAGCAGCAACAGGTCTTGAAATTCTGCTAGGCTGGTAGGACCTGCAGGGGTGGGTGGTCTATTGGGACTTGAGTGTATCTCTCATTAGGGATTTGGAATTACAGAGGGAGCTTGGCCACACCTTTCCCATTCTTAGAAAAAATCCAGTTCATTATACAGAATTAGTGAATAATTTAGGTTGGGAAGGACCATTGGCTCATCTGGTACCACCTGAGGCTGATCCCAGGGGAGATGACAGAGGAGGGGGTGAGTTTCAGAGACTCAGAGGGAAGTGCAGGTCAATGGGATCTCCAAGCTCAGCGAGTTTACAGTGGTACAGACCAGCTGGTTACTGTGTGGCACAACTGAACCTCAATTCCAAGTCTGATTAGCTTTATAGCCCTTGGGGCTGTGATGGTGAGCCAGTCATAACACAGGGCTTGCACCTGTACAGAGGCAAGGACTTTTCTCAGCTGAAGGGAGTGTTAGTCCTGGAGTGGAATGAAGATAGCTGCAAAATTAGCTTTAAAACAACTATTTCGCTGCTAATTGAAGAACTTGATCTTCCTCTGCAGGTCTGCACAGGCTACTACTACGATATAAAAGCAAAGATGTAAAATAATTTGCAAATTGTTAAATATCAGACTTTCACTTGTGTGTTCTTAATTCTTTACTTTTTCTTACAGTCATATATGTCTCTGAGGTGAATTGTTTATACTTGAATTTTTTCATTTTTTCCTCCTTAATAGAATTTTAATTTTGTCTGCTAAGAAGTTCCACAGACAAATGTTTAAGACTCAGCAAGACAAGTCCAAAGCTCGGTGAATGCCTTTGTTATAAGAATGGCACAATTTTACACAAAATTGATAAGGAAAGAGGCTGTATTTGCAGCCATTACTGCCTTCAGATAGACTACCTCACACAAGCCGAGGAAGACAAAGTGTTTCAGCAGGCTATAAACCTTCGTGTAGTGTAGTGTCTAGCGGGACTTGCACGTGAGCAGAGTCAATGCTCACAGGGCCAGGTGGTGGTCACCACTCCTCTGTCTGCACGATGGAAGATATTTACTGCTTCTCACCGTGACCTGCTGCTTCCCTCCTCCCTGACCCCACATCCCAAACGATTGCTCTAGTTGCCTTCCCCAGCAACCTGCGTGGTGATAGAAACCTACTTGATATATTGGAGGGACAGTTTTATTAGTCGGTAGTGCAAAACTATTAGCGCTGCATACAAACGCTGCATTTTTCATACCCTTTTGCCTATAGCTACAACAGCATGTTACAAACCTGCTTATACAGTTTAAAGTTCAGAGCCTTTATTGTCAGTATGGCTTTTGCATATATTTGTCGTATGAAGTTTTAAAAATACCCTATTACTGGCAAAGCAACCACTATGACAGAACACTCAAAGCTTTTATAGTTCAGACCATTTTACCCCAGAGACGCAGTGATACACATTTTCAGATTTGCAAAGCCTCAGTCTGCTGCTGTTGCTGTTGTTGTTTAAGAAAGCTATCGAAACCAATAGTTTTCATCTCCATGGTTTAAATTTTCACCCCCAGAAGCATGATGCCATTGTGGCACCGGAGGTCCACAGAAATGGGTTTGAAAGCACACTTTAGGTGAATAATGTTCACTTGTTTTTTTTCTAATTTGATCCCTGCAATACAGCCGTGAGTCAGGTAAAATAAAAGCTCTAGCTGGTTCAATTTCCTTGCCAGGAAAATAGCCCCAAATCATCTTTACTCTAATGCCTCTTTATGCAGTCATTTCACAATGTTCTCCCTTGTGCATTAGACTGGAAATTAATGACCTGCCTGGCAGAGATAGGCCAATCTGTTAGGTCAAGAGGCTTTGTTAAAAAACAGTTACTGGGGGTTCTAAAAGTTATAACGATTTTGAGTCCAAGGTATTCTGACTTCGAAAAAGGGGGTAGGAAAAATGAAAACTAGGCACCCTGGCTATGTTTCAAGGAGGTAAGGAAAACCAAGAGACTTTTCCTGCCAGATCAGCTCTTGGTCACTTGGCACTCGACGCCTTCAAAAACCACAGAAATGTTCTCAACTCTGGCGTTAACTGTTAGAGCTCTGTGTGTCCCTGGTGTTCCAAGTGGGGAAAGGACCAAGTGGCTGAACAGACTCACCAGTGTCGTTGCCTTTCAGCTAAAACTGGGAAACTCAAAAACGTTCCATGTGCAAGCCCCCTAGAGTGGTGAAGTTCCTCCTCTTCTGGGCTCATCTTCCTTCAGAGGAAACAACAAGGGCCAGGACACTGCGCTGTCCCAGTGCACCACTCAAATACTAGCAAGCTCTGGACGCCCTTTCATTCTGCCCTGAACACGGAGGGCTGGCAAGGCCGGGTGGATCCCTTTCCTAGAACAAAGAAAACAAACAAAATTACTTCCAGCTCCACAAATTCTTCTCAAGCTAATATGTTGGCTTAGTCTGTACTGCTATCCTGTAACAAGAGTGTGGACAAAAAGCAGGAATAAGACACATTCCCATGCTCCCCCAGAATGTACGTGGGAAAGAAGTTGGGAGATCAGTTTAAGCCCTAGGTGTGTTTGCAGGGGATCTCGGCTGAAGAGGCCAGGGAAAAGTCCAGTCTGCTGAGTCAGAGGGGAATCCCAATGAACCGGTTTCATGAGAAGGATCCAAGACTCCTTCACCCTTTACATGAACTAAAATGAGCGGTGAAAGAAAGAATATGTGACAGAGGGATCACCCTCTGACAAAGGGACTTTTAAGAACAGTAGCACAAGGTTAATTTGACACTGCGCTGACGTAACTCCAGCCAGAAGTTTGCCCCTAGCACCCCTGAGGCACCAGAGAGCCAAGCAACCACACAGTGATGTAGCTAATCCCTGGTGCTCACTGCAGGATGAATTTGGTGAATCAATACTCCTTCTGCACTTCTGAGGACACATACACTACTGGCAGTCACTCATTCTCCTGTTATTTGGAGAGTAACGTTATGGAAAGCCATCCCAAAGCTCAAACAAAGCATTAGGAGGTACAAAAGAATATTTAAGGCAGCATTGCTGTTATCAGCAAGATTACTGAAACGTTCTGGCTGTCAGCGTGGATACTGGTTACCTGCCATTACATCAGTAGCAGCAGGTCTTCAAACCAAAGGTAGGAATCCCTGCAATGGCTGAGGCCATGCCAGCAGCAGGCAGCGAGCCTGACCCTTCCTGGAGAGGAACTCCCACAACTCCCGTCGATGGAGCTGGCTGGACTCAGTCCTGTCCCTTCATGCTGCCAGTTAGCACCAGGTTTCAGTGACCTAGTGCTGGACTCAGATCTGTGAGCTCCAAACCAAACCTATTCTCCCCTCTCGGTCTTAAGGCCTGAAATGGTATTTACTGCACGGCCCCACACTGGGCTTGGCGGCTGCTGGTGCAGCTTGTGCCAGTGTCTGCTCACTGCTCCTTCCCACACTTTGAATCTCATTTCTGCTGTTCCACAGGCTACAGCAAAACTAGCCTTTAGGGGAGATGTGTCAGTGCCTGTTGGCTTGGTCTCATCTGCTGCCATGTGCTCAGTACAGCTTCTCCTCCCAAGCCAGCGCTGCAAGGTCATCGCTTGCTTTGGGTTCAAATGCCAGAAATACCCAACTGAGCAGTGATTTCTGGCTCAAAAGCTGCCTCTTCCATAGGAGCCTCTGGGGAAGGGAAAGGATAGGCTCTGCTTAATTGCTTTGTTTTTAAAGTAGCACTCTCTCATCCTATTTTTGTCCTAGGGTTATTTTAATTGGACAGCTCTAAAGCTCTTTGCAGCTCATTCAAAAGGAGGGAGAGAGAGCAGACCCTCCAGTTTTACAGACCCTTCCCTACAGAGGGATTGTTGCTGGTTCCAAGTCGTCCCATGTAGTTATTTATCAAACAAAAGGGACAGCCCTTGATCTGTGCCAATGACTCCAAAGTGATGCGGGGCTCAGCGGGGTTAGGAAGGAGACAGTGTGAAAGGGTTTTCTGTCTTCTCTCCTTGAGCTGCCTCCTGAAGTCATTATGCCCTGTGGATACCTTTATGCGAGGTGGCCGGCTTGGCAGGGAGGCAGCGCTGCACGACACACACAGTGCGCTTGGAAAGAGCGGGCTGAGTTGTAGCTGGAAGACAGAATATAGCAGCTCTGGAAAGGCCATCTTAAAATAATGTTGTCACTAGAGTCTCTCAGATGAGGCCATTAAATGAGCTTGGGGAATGGCAACTCCCATCTTCTTGCAAAGTTTATTGCTTAATGGTGGTGATTGAGGTTTTTTTCTGAGCGCAGGTGTTCCTGTTTGCACAGTCCAGCAACATCTCCCATCAATTCATGGCAGAGTGAAGCTACAAGGAAACAACAAGCTTGCTCCCGATCTCATCAGCGCAGGCTTTACCTCAACACAGTCTCTGCAGTAGTCAACTTCTCCTAAACACAAGACCAGAACCAGGTCCTTCTCATGTCCTGAGAGAGAGACATGCCTGCAACTGGGGCTCCAGGACAGACCACTGTATGTACAGATTTTAAAGGCAGGAGCTACTAATTTTGGAGTAGCCAGGGTTGTCTTGCCCCAAGAGGAGAACTTGACAGGCAGTGTAAACCTCTGGATTGTGGAAGGCATCAGCAGAGCCATAGCAGGAACATCTGGCAACCATCAATTCCCCATGGCTTCTTCTCTATCAGACTTTCTCCTCAGATGACAAGAGGGACCAGGCACGAGGGAGGGTCTATTTTAATGTTGTAGATGCTGGAAAGTTGAACTTGAGGGAGCCTGCTTGTCTCATGCAGGCTGACAATAAGTTGCTCTACAGGAACAGCTCTTCCCAGGTATCATACGCTTGCCCTTTCCCTAGGGAAGAAGGGTGCAGAGGGCACTGAACAACCGCAGCCCTTGCACCAGCAACTGCACTGCCTCAAGCAGTCTGCTTGGTAGCTGCCGGAAAACAAAGAGCATCTTCAGTGCTGAGGGTAGGAGCAGGCCCAGACGCAAATCCCGATCCTGCTTCGTGGCCATACAATATACATGTCTCACAACACCTAAGGCCAGCAGCTAGCATGATTACGGCTTATGCTTGCTCCAGCAAGACAGCCTTTGGGGGAAAATACTACTGATATCATACTAAGTCCCCACATCTGGGGCCCAGAATGCTCCTAGCAGGATTTGGGCTTTCCCTAGGGCAGGAAAAGGAGCGGTAAAGTATTTCTTCTGTCTTTCCCTTTCCTATGCAGCATGGAAGAGCAGCCAGGATCTGACTCTGCTCTTCCAGTCCTAGTGAAGTGAAATAGCCCTAAAAGCATATGCGTGAGATATGAGTGAATGTGAGGGAGGGTAGGGGCTCTACAGCAGTTGTGTTATTCTTCCACATCCTTTACCGGAAGATATTCACTCCATAAATATCATGGGTTATGGCTGGGCCTGGAGTTCATGCTGAGTTTAATGGACTGTGCTAAGCAAGCAGCGTGCGTGTGAATGTGCATGTGTATTTCTTCTGTTTTGCTGGAGGGAGCTCCCCACACCTGACTGACAGCTCCCAAATCAGTGAACTCGGCACCTCAGCTCAGGCTAACTGGACGTTTCAAACTAGTGCTGGGGGGTTTGTGGAGGGGAAGCAAGGCAAGACTGTCCCTGCAGACTTTTGCCAAGTTAGAGCTCCCTATCCTCCTCCTGCAAAGACTTCAGGGAGGACAACTTTTGTCTCTCCCCCTATCCTGTACCAGCGAACCCGGAGTGCATCCATGAGGGCTACAGGAACCTGGGATCTGGAGAGAGCTGGAACGCACTGGCCAGAGGTGGGCCCTGGAAGGAGCTGACCAGTTGACACCAGTTGAGGACCTGACCTCAATTCCCTTCGGGATTTTGGCACCCAAACCGCTAGGGTGCTTTTGAAAATAATTCTAAGCTGTGTATCTTTAGACCCCTACCTACTTACAGTTCAGCACAGAATCTCAATTTCTTCTGACAGTTAGGGTTGTTTTGATCACAATTTTGGCCTGGCTGAGGGCTCAGAGCCAGCAGAGAAGCCACCCTCAGCATCCCCAAAGCTCGAACCCTCCTCTCTGAGAGCATCCTGCCCCTCCACATACAAAGTCCAACCTGTCACACGTCCCTGGTACTGCCGTGAGCGTGGCAGGGTGACTCTCCAGTCACACGGCCACAGGAAGGGTCCTGTTGCAGTCCCCCATGGCATTAATCAACATGCTCCCTCCGAGGGTTCCTTGTTTACAAACTAGAGAAACCCAAATTCTTGAGTTGCTGAGAATTTCCGCTCAGCTGTGGGTCGCATTTTAAGATTCCTCTGTTTTTCTTCCCAAGTAACAACTGTTTGTTTTGCTGAAGAAAAAGGGATTGATTCTGCTCCACTCAGAGAGGTGTAAATCAGGAGTAGTTCCACTGAATCCAAGGGGCCAGGAGTGGGGAAAACCCAGCAGGAGAAGTGTGTCCTGCCCAACTGTATGAGCATATGAAGGCCAGATTTCTTAGTTCCTTTACCCTCCTGCTGCTTTTTTTCTCTTCCCACCCTTACCCCGTCTCCCTGTTAGAGAGAATGTCATGACTGAGATGTCAAAGAGTAGTTATCACTAGATGTTTGGTTGTTTTTTCAATAAATATATGATGTGCTCCAGATGCTCAAGAAATGAGTATGCTTCCGATGATCGCCTCTGCTCTCATTTAAATCCTGAGTCACTCTGCTTACTCCTTCAGACTAATGCCAGATGCAAATGAAGGAAGTAAGATCAGCATCCAACCTTGAGTTACTAAAAGCAAACTGACCAATTACACTTCTTAGAGAAAGACTTCTGCAATGATTAATGACAGCCAGACAAACAAAAGAAGGGCCTTGGGACATATTTCACAGCAATTTTCACTTAAGCAACTGGGACATTTTTTAAAGCTCAAAACAAGAAAGACAAAACTATTTGCTGCGCTCAACTGACCTAGTTTATTTTTTTTTCTTTTTTAAGAAGATACATGCTTACTGGGAACATGAATGAAAAGGTCCCGTTCACAACTTTGCCTTGACATTGCTTGAACGAAATAGCCGCTTGGGTTCAAGTCAACATGAGTCAGGCATCAGGTTCCCACAGCCCCAGATCAGGAACTGGTGCCCTTTAATACACCTCGTTTTGCTCTCAGTAGTTCAGATAGAGTCAAAGGAGCTTTTCTAGATTTATGCAACTACTGCTGTTACCAGAACTGGTAGTTCTGAGATCCGCCTGGTAACATGGCGTTTGCTCTCCTGGGTCCTGTTATGTTGCAGCTGTATTTTAGTTCAGTTTCAGTGGGCCAGTTTTAACATTGGTTAGAATCTGGGGATGTGGGGGGCACTTAATGGGCAAAAGCTGTGCAAGAAGGGCTTTGTAACCCTCCCAAAGCATGGCTGGGAAGCAG